CGGTTAAGGTGATAATCCTTGGGTCTAAAAGGGACATGAACTAGCTTTTTGGCTTTTGGACAAGGCTGCACATAAGTCATTTCCTCAGATTTTCTACTTGTCAGGTAGAAAACCAAGATGAATGTAGAGGAGAAAGAGAGAGAGAGAGAGATGTCAATTGAATTTCTGATCTGGTGTCTTCTGGTTTAAAAAAAGCTTTTAAAGATAAAAAAAGGAAGTCAACAATAAAAAGTGAGCCAACCATATTTATTTGAAAATTATTTTCTGCATAATATCTACAATAATATCTAAATATCTAAAATAATATCTAAGTATCTAAAAATCTATTGATTTTTTTGTTCAGCTCAAGCAATTACTAAAAACAGACAGAATTATGCAAAAGAAAAGATACTATTGATGATAGAAACGGAAACAAGCCCAACTAGTGTGGCTGTATGGTTGAGTGTAGACCTATGCACCAAGAAGTCACAGGTTCTATTCTTGGTCAGGGCAAATGCTCAGGCTGTGGGCTCCATTCCCAGGGTTAGTGGGAGGCAACTGATCCATCAATATTTCTATCTCTCCCTCTCTCTTTAAAATCAATAAAAACATATTTTTTTAAATCTTAAAAATAATAAAGGAAAACACACATACAAGAATAGAGATGATCAACAAAAACATAAACCTGATACTTTTAAAGAAGACTAAAATGCAGATCTGGAGATACTGATGAAGGAAGAAGTTTCCAGGACCCGGGCAGGAAATACACAGCCTGAGCCTGGAGCATCTTGTAGTGCCTGAAATTAAGGACATTCTGAAAAGAAGAGCATTGAGACTGAGTAAGTTACAAAGAGGCGCCAAGAACAGAGGTTCGGAGTTGCGCGCCAGGCGGGCTGCAACTGGATGCGCGTTTTTTTTTTTCAATCGGAGAGCATTGCAGACTCTGGAGTCCACTGAACTTGTTTGGGGCCGGATTCTGGGGTCCCAGACCCCTGCGGGGAGAGGCGGGACGGCCTTGCAGCGGTCAGAAAGTGAGGATGGCTTTCTCGTGGAGATGCTCCCGGGCACTCAGGGACGTGGAGTTGGGGAGTCGCAGAGAGGCGAGGAGCTGTGGAGCCATTGCTGTTTGCTCTGCCCTGGTGACTCCCTGGGACCCCTCCTCAATTTGCATTCCCGCCCAAGCTGTGCCAGAGGCACAAAAGGAAACACCGGCGTTTTTACAGCATAACCCAGCAAACTGCAGATTTTGGCTCCTGGCATCCATAAGGGACACACTCAAGAAGCCTGGTTTTTTTTTTTGTTTGTTTGTTTTCAATCGGAAAGGGTTACAAACTCTCAAATCCACTGAGCTTGTTTCGGGCGGGATTCTGAGGTCCCAGACCCCTATGGGGAGAGGTGGGACAGCCTTGCAGCGGGTCAGAAAACAAGGGTGGCTCTCTCGCGGAGCTGCTCGCTGGCACTAGGGGACACAGAGTCGCGAAGATGCGAGGAGTCGCGGAGACGACATTGCTGCTTGCTCTGCCCTGGTGATTCCTTGAGACCTCGCCATACTCAATTTACATGCCCGCCAAAGCTGTGCCAGTGGCACGGAGGGAACCACCTGCACTTCTGCAGCATAAACCAACAGACTGAAGATTTCAACTCCTGGCACCCATGGGGGACACACTCAAGAAGCAGACTCGGGTTTGGAGGAGGCCGTAGCCGGACTTGGCTGGGCCGGCGACATGGAACCGCTGTACCAGCAAACGCACAAGCACCTCTACCAGATCCAGTCTCACATGGGACACCGGGAGACTGTAGACAAGCAGTCTGTGCACTTAGCAGAAAATGAAACCCAAGCAAGCATACCAGATATTCAGCCAGCAAGAATGCCTGGAGATTTTGTCCAGCAAGGAGCCGCCCAACAAAAGACAGAATGCCAAACTTCGTGTTGACCAGTTAAAGTATGATGTCCAGCACCTGCAGATGGCTCTCAGAAACTTCCAGCAGGAGAGACAGCAAGAGGAGCTCTGATTCGCACCTTCACCCCCAATGTGGGATGCGGTGCCCACTGCGAGGCTATGGTGCCCCCTGTGAGGTTTCGACATTCCCAGTGAGGCTGAAACGGTCCCGGTGAGGCTGAGACAGTCCCTGTGAGGCTGAGACGGTCGCTGTGAGGTTGAAACGGTCCCTGTGAGGCTGAGACAGTCCCTGTGAGGCTGAAATGGTCCCAGTGAGGCTGAAACAGCCCCTGTGAGGCTGAGACAGTCCCTGTGAGGCTGAGATAGTCCCTGTGAGGCTGAGACGGTCCCAGTGAGGCTGAAACAGCCCCTGTGAGGCTGAGACAGTCGCTGTGAGGTTGAAACGGTCCCTGTGAGGCTGAGACAGTCCCTGTGAGGCTGAAATGGCCCCAGTGAGGCTGAAACGGCCCCTGTGAGGCTGAGATGGTCCCTGTGAGGCTTTGATGGTCCCAGTGAGGCTGAAACGGCCCCTGTTAGGCTGAAACAACCCCTGTAAGGCTTTGACGGTCCCAGTGAGGCTGAGATGGCCCCAGTGAGGCTGAAACGGCCCCTGTGAGGTTGAAACAGTCCCTGTGAGGCTGAAACGGCCCCTGTGAGGTTGAAACAGTCCCTGTGAGGCTGAAACAGTCCCAGTGAGGCTGAGACCATCCCTGTGAGGCTGAGACGGTCCCAGTGGGTCTGGGATGGTAGAGCGTGAACAAGTCATGAAAGACCTTTCCGAACACAGGGACACGTCATGGATGTAAATAGCTACATTTTCCATGTGTATGACCTTTGATCCGGCAACAAAAAGCATACACCTATGGATGAGGACAGTGGAGGGTAAGGGCAGAGGGTGGGGGGGGGGGGGAAATGGGTGGAGAAAGCTACGGGGAAAAAAGGGGAACCACTGTAATAATCTGAACAATAAAGATTTATTTAAAAAAATAAAAAATAAATAAAAAAGGCAATTGTCCAATAATATGAAATCTCAATTTTACATGAATGTTTTCCAAGATCCAAAAACATGCTTTCCCTTTGGACACAACCTCAAAATGATGCAGCATGGATTGCCAGTCCGGTTCTATGTGTTTCATCAAAAATTGAATTCACTCAGCACTATCCTTATCCAATCTGTCAATATCTTCCCAAACCATTTATGTCCAACTCTGGTCTACTCCTTCAGTTTCCTATAAAATAAAAAGATTTTTTTTCTTCATAAAAATCTTCCTTTAATGGCTTTGACCAAGTATCTCAGACGGTTAGAGCAGCATCCTGATACGACCAAGGTTTCAGGTTCTGTCTCTGGTCAGGGCACATACAAGAGGCAACCTATGAATCAATAAGTGGAACAACAAATCTCTCTCTCTCTCTCTCTTTCTTCCTCTGTCTCTCTAAATATCAACAAATAAAAATTTAAAAACATTTTTCTTTAAAACATTCAACATAACAACATAGCAAAACTAGCCGAAGTTATAGGTGCATATGTATATGTATGTATATGTATATGTGTATATACATATATATTTTAATGAAATAAATACATATATTCAATTTTAATTCAGGAGAAATGGAAACTCCATCTATCACAACTTCTAAGGTAAAAGTAAAAAATGTTCCCACAATGAAAAACTAAATGCTTTAAACTTTTAACAGAGAAAGTTCTCTCTTTCTATCAATTTCACATTTAACAAGAGAAAAAAAAGAATGGGGTAATACATAGCCTACCTTCCACTAATCTGAAAGTGCTTTCTCACTTGGAGCCATCCTAAAAGGGAATAGGCTGATGGGCCAGTAACATTTTAATCCAATCAGGCATATCCTAATCCAATCCCATGGCTCCTCATTGTAATTCAAAATAGAATTAAACTTAAAATTAAAAGCCACAAAAGATGAGGATCCAGAGATATTTTCAGTCAGGAAAGAGAAAGATGAGGAACTCCAGCTAGATAATTTCACTTAATCATTTATTCAAATAAATATGAAATATGGCTTAGTGGTTGAGCATTGATCTATAAATCTGGAGGTCATTGTTTGATTCCTGGTCAGGGCACATGACCAGATTGCAGGTTGATCCCCCATGTGGGGCATAGAGGAGGCAGCCAATCAATGATTTTCTCTGATCATTGGTGTTTCTTTCTTTCTTCCTCCCCTTTTCCTCTTTGAAACCAATAAAATATACTTTAAAAAATATGAATTGAGTGATTATAATGCTTATGGTATTGAGATACCTTCAATAGAAAATTTTAAAAAATCAAGTTAGACTGTTTTGAAAAAATGTTCATTTCCATAGGGAAGATAAGACAAGTACAGAAATAGCACTAATTGATAAGTTGGATTTGAATACTGACCCCAAAATTTACTAAGTGGTGACAGTAGTTCCTCCTTATCCACGAGGGTTCTAAGACCCCCCAGTGAATGCCCAAAATCATAAAGGGGTATACTTTGTATTTTTCTAGACATATCTATAATAAAGTTTATTTATAAATTAGGCACATGAAGAGATTAACAGTAATAGCTAACAATAAATAATGGTAACTATTTTAATTACTTGTAGAAATGTCTCAGATATTTCACCCTTTTTAAAATTTTTTTTATTGATTTCAGAGAGGAAGGGAGAGAGAGATAGAAACATCCACGAAACATCCATGATCAGAGAAAATCATTGATTGACTGCCTCCTGCACGCCCCCTACTGAAGATTGAGCCCGCAACAAGGGCATCTGCCCATGACAGAAATCGAACCTGGGACCCTTCAGTCCCCAGTATGACACTCTATCCACTGAGCCAAACCAGCTAGGGCTGAAATATTTCACTCTTAAGTAAAATGCTGGTTTGGGGGCTAAAATAGCTAACTATATAAATAGAGAAAATGTTTTCATGTTAAGGAAATATCCATTGGTTCCTATGTGGGGATGTGTTTAAAACAAGACGGTTGAGTATTGTCCAATACCTATCAGCACCTGAAAATGGCCATATAACTTTCTCCTTGGATCTACTAATAAGATAAGTTATGTTACTGATTTCCTTAAGATATCTCTCTGCCTACTTGGCTTAGTTTTCCAGCATCTGCTCACAGGTTCGGGCCACATCGCTGAGCTTGAGGCGAGCATAGTCGACTCGCTGTAGTGCCATCTGACAGTCCTTCTTTGAAGAGTAGCTGGAGCCCTCGTGGGGCTGCCCTGTGGCCACCTGGGTTAGGTAGCGGATCTGAGCCGACAGCTCTGCTTCTACGTGTTGCACAGACGCCGTGAAAGCCGCCGCTTGTCGGTGTAGCAGCCGAGCATTGGTTTTTTCCTTGGAAAGTTCCAGGATCACGGTACCTGCATTCCGAAGGATGGCGCAGATTTCGCGTTCGATGTCTTCCAAGGCGCGCAGTCGCTCGGTTGCCAGGCTGTAGGTAGCCATTGTCTGTCGCTCGGGGAACCCACAGGATTTCCCCCTTTTCCAGGCGTTTAGAGCTAATTGCTAATTAATTGTCCGGCTGCTGATATTAAGGGCAGTAGCCCCAATTATAAATCCTGTCCAGTCCAAGTTAAAAAAACAGAAGTCGTCTTTCTCTATAACCACAAGATTAGCCCTGCCAAAACAAGGCCTCAAAAAATTGAGTATAGCCTCACCCGTTTGCCAGCGGACTGAAGGGTCCCGGGTTCGGCGCCAGATGCTGGGGTCCAACCCCAGCAGGTCCAGGTGTCCCCAAAGGTGTGGACGGAATCGGCGAAGAAGGAATGACACGGAGACAGTGTTCAGTTGATCAGCAGCCTAGCCAGGATCTCCAGCCAAGTTCTGTCTAGATTCTCCAGCCGAATTTTGTCTTATTGTCTTGTGACATCTGTATTTATACCAGTTGATTTTAATCCTATCAATTTCTATTCCAAAGGTTAGGGCGTTTCTTATCTCCACTCCAGGGAGTAAAGATCTTGTAGCTTAAGGGTGATTGTTCGTAGTTAAAGTGATTAACTACCTGCCTGACACTTAGTTAAGGGGTTTTATTCCCTCCCTAACTTCAAGGGAAAATCCCTACCTGGGGAAACAACCTTTCTCGGAGAGGTGACCTTGGTTAAAACACATAGCACCAAGAAGGTGAGCAAACATATTAAAAACAGTATGCCATATACGCCAGGTCCCTTGAAACATATGCTGTGCAGATGTTTCTTCCCTACAGCGACTGTGTCAAGCAGCAAGGATGGACCGGCTTCTGGCAGTCTGGATGTGTCCCTGTGGCTCCCCCAACGCACCTGAACATCATCCAGCCTCTATGCTGCCCCCTTTCCCTCTCCCCGCCCCTCTTCCCAGACCGCTAAACAACACACATTGTGTCACATTTCATTTCTGTGTAGCATTGTTGCTGTAACCACTACAGTAAAATGTAAAAATATCAAGTGATGTTTTGCATGCATGCTCTTTATGCATTTCTATATACATTAGAAGTCAATATGTACATGTTAATGTAAAGGGCTATATACCCTAAACTATGAATCAAATAAATACACACACATGAACAAACTCCACATAAAATCAAATGTGTTTATAGAGAGGCATTTTTATTCTGCCCTATAAAGTATAAGGGATCAGATGATCGTCAGTGTGCCACTCTACTTCTGAGATTTAATGCGAGGTAAATCTGTTCTGCAGTCTGTATCACTGTTTAGAAATATCCAGAGAAAGATCTGAGGGGGGAAGCAACAGGTTCATTAGCTCTCCTCTAATATCCAAGGGTAAGGGAAACCCATTTCCTATATCACCCCCCATCCCTCCTCCTGGGTATATGAAGAAGCAATATGCAGAGTGGATAAGAAGCTGAATTCTAGAGCCTAACTTCCTGGGTTTGAACCCCAGCTCTGTATGTACTAGCTGTGTGCCTTTGGGCAAGTTACTAAACCTCTCTGTGCCTCCGTTTACTCATATAATAAAACTAGAGGCTCGGTGCACAAAAGTTTGTGCACTCGGGGGGGAGGGGGGTCCCTCAGCCCGGCCTGTGCCCTCTCGCAGTCTGGGACCCCTCGGGAGATAACGACCTGCTGGCTTAGGCCTGCTCCTGGGTGGCAGAGGGCAGGCCCAATCACTAGGTGCAGCCCCTGGTCGGGCTCAGAGCAGGGCCAATTGGGGAATTGGGGCACCGCCCCCTGTCATGCACAGAGCAGGGCGGATTGGGAAGTTGCGATGCCACCCTCAGTCATGCTCAGGGTAGGGCTGATTGGGGGGTTGGGGCACCGCCCCCTGTCACACTCAAGGCAGGGTCGATGGGGAGATTGCGGCGCCACCCCCTGTCACGCACAGAGCAGGGCCAATCAGGGGGTTGTGGCACTGCCCCCTGTCACGCACAGAGCAGGGCTGATCAGGGGGTTGGGGAGTTCCCCCCTGTCATGCACAGAGCAGGACCCATCAGGGGGTTGGGGAGCTCCCCCCTGTCACGCACAGAGCAGGGCGGATCAGGGGGTTGGGGCGCCACCCTCTATCACCCAAAGAGCAGGGCCGATCAGGGGGTTGGGGCGCCGCCAGTCTCACACTCAGGGCAGGGCCGATGGGGAGGTTATGGCTCTACCCCGTCACACACAGAGCAGGGCCCATGGGGTGGGGGGGTGGGGGCTCCGCACCCTGTCACACACAGAGCCGCAGGGCAATCAGGAGGTTGGGGAGCTCCCCCCTATCAGGCACAGAGCAGGGCTGATCAGGGGGTTGGGGCACCTTCCCCTGTCAGGAACAGAGCAGGGCCGATAGGGAGGTTGTGGCCCTGCCTCCTGTCACACACAGAGCCACAGGGCGATCAGGGGGTTTGGGCGCTGCCCCCTGTCATGCTGATCCCGGTGCTGGGAGACCTCGCGGCTCCGCTGATCCCAGTGCTGGGAGGCATATTACCCTTTTACTATATAGAATAGAGGCCTGGTGCATGGGTGGGGGCTGGCTGGTTTGCCCTGAAGGGTGTCCCGGATCAGGGAGGGGGTCCCCACTGGGGTGCCTGGCCAGCCTGGATGAGGGGATGATGGCTGTTTGCAGCTGGTCACACACCCTTCAGGGTGGGGGTCCCCACTGGGGTGCCTGGCCAGTCTGGGTGAGGGGCTGAGGGCTGTTTTTAGGCTGGGACTGAAGCTCCCAACTGCTCCTTTTTTTCTTTTTTATTCTGAGCCAGCTTTAGCTCTGAGGCTCCAGCTCTTAGGCCTCCGCTCCTGAAAGCAGGTATCTGGTTTGTTTAGGTTCTACAATCGAAACTCTGTATCAACTCCAGGTCTGAGATCCCGGCTAGCTGAAAGCTGGTTTCTGGGGTTTTGTTTAGCTTCTATTTTTGTAACTATGTTTCAAACTGCCAGCTCAGAGGCCTGCAGCGGCAGGCGGGGAGCGTTGGTTTCCTCCGTCACTGAAGCAAGCAAGCCTCATGTTAGTTTCAAGCTGCCTGGCTGCCGGACGCCATCTTGGCTGGCAGTTAATTTGCATATCGCCCTGATTAGCCAATGGGAAGGGTAGTGGTCGTACGCCAATTACCACGTTTCTCTTTTATTAGATAGGATAGGAACAATAACAGTATACCTACTTCATAGGATTAAATTAACTAATATTTCTAAAGTGCTTAGAACAATTTCTGGTACATAGTACAAGCTGTATTATTTCTAAATTGGAGGACCAATGCACAAAATTCATGCAAGAGTAGGCCTAACTTCCCCTGCCTGCCAGCACTGGCTTCCCCCTGGCACCCAGGACCCGGGCTTCCCTAGCAGCCCTAGCTTAGTCTGGAAGGACGTCCAGAAGGATGTCTGGTCTATTAGCATATTACACTTTTATTATTACAGAGATAAAATTAACTCTGCTAGGAACTTGCCTATAGAATATGCAGAGTTGGGTACACTGCAAGGCCATTATCTCACTGATAACAGCAAATTTTTTAAAGGAAATCCATAAGTTCAGCCCAGCCAGGAGTTTGGTGGTTGAACGTCAATCCATAAACCAAGAAGTCATCAGTTCCATTCCAGGTCAGGGCACATGCCCAGGTGTTGGGCTGGATCCCCAGTAGGGGGCGCGGTAGAAGGCACCTGATCAATGTTTTTCTCTCATCAATGTTTCTACCTCTCTATTTCACTCCCTTTCTCTTGTCTCTCTCTAAAGTCAATAAAAACTTATTTTTTTAATTAAATCTTTATTGTTCAGATTATTACATTTGTTCCTCTTTTTTCCCACCATAACTCCCCTCCTCCCTGTTCCCGCCCCACCCTCCGCCCTCACTCCCCACCCACTGTCCTCATCCATAGGTGCACGATTTTTGTCCAGTCTCTTCCCGCATCTTCCACACCCCTTTCCTGCCCAAGAATAGTCAGTCCATTCCCTTTCTATGTCCCTGATTCTATTACAATCACCACTTCATACTGTTCATCAGATTATTTGTTCACTTGATTCTTAGATTCACTTGTTGATAGATGCATGTTTGTTGTTCATAATTTGTATCTTTACCTTTTTCTTCTTCCTCCTCTTCTTAAAGGATACCTTTCAGCATTTCATATAATACTGATTTGGTGGTGATGAACTCCTTTAGCTTTTCCTTATCTGTGAAGCTCTTTATCTGACCTTCAGTTCTGAATGATAGCTTTGCTGGATAAAGTAATCTTGGTTGTAGGTTCTTGGTATTCATCACTTTGAATATTTCTTGCCATTCCCTTCTGGCCTGCAAAGTTTCTGTTGAGAAATCAGCTGACAGTCGTATGGGTATTCCCTTGTAGGTAACTGAGTTTCTTTCTCTTGCTGCTTTTAGGATTTTCTCTTTGTCTTTTGCTCTTGGCATTTTAATGATGATGTGTCTTGGTGTGGTCCTCTTTGGATTCCTTTTGTTTGGGGTTCTCCGCGCTTCTTGGACCTGTAAGTCCATTTCTTTCACCAGGTGGGGGAAGTTTTCTGTCATTATTTCTTCAAATAGATTTTCAATATCTTGCTCTCTCTCATCTTCTGGCACCCCTATAATTCTGATGTTGGAATGCTTGAAGCTGTCCCAGAGGCTCCTTACACTATCTTCATATTTTTGGATTCTTTTTTCATTTTGCTTTTCCAGTTGGGTGTTTTTTGCTTCTTCGCATTTTGAATCTTTGACTTGATTCTTGCGCTCCTCTGGTCTGCTGTTGGGAGTCTGTATAGTATTCTTTATTTCAGTCCGTGTATGCTTAGTTTCTAGTTGGTTCTTTATCATAACATCGAGGGTCTCTTTAGATTTCTTGTAGATCTCATTAAGTTTATCGGCGGCTTCTAGACAGTTCTTGAGAGACCTTAAAAGTGTGGTTCTGAACTCTATATCTTCCATTGACAATTTTGTCCTGTTTCTTTGTCTCTGCATTTTTTTTATGCTTTCTTGGTGCACCCCCTAGTGGTCTTTGTGCGCAGTCTTGTTGTAGTTAAGCCTTGATTATTGTAGTTAATACTGGGGGGATTTG